TCGTCAAGCTTCCCCTGTCAATCCGTCTAGCCCTCTGTCCACCCTCAAAGCCGACAAACTGTGTCAATCACTTTTACCTCACATCTTCAAAGCAGAGTATCGCACCTTTGTCTGTTTTCTGGGTTATCATAGGGTAATTTATACTATTATATCTTTGTATTTATGTTACCTGTTAGACAGAAGATAAGAAAGACATATCAATTAGGGAGAAATAATATTATATAGAATGAGGAAGGGAAGCCGCATCCGACCCCTTGTTTTGGACCGGCGGGAGGGGAGTGAGTAATGAGACCATCTGATCATTTTGGACAGCTGCCACTCCCTGGTAATTTTAACACTATGAGGAGAAGGAAGAAGGAGGAAGTAGTAAGGGGGAAGAGGAGAAAGGAAGAGGAGGAGGAAGAGGAAGAATAGGAGGAAGAGGATAAGAGTAAGAGGAGGGAGAAGAGAATATTAGGCAGGAAGATTAGGGGAAGAGGAGGAAGACGATGAAGAATATAGGAGGAGGAGGATGAGAGGAAGAGTCGGAGGAAGATGAAGAGTAGGAGGAAGAGAAGAAGAGAAGGAGAGGAAGATGAGAGGTAGGAGAGGAGAAGAGGAAGAGTAGGAGGAAGAGAAGAGGAACAGTATGAGGAAGAGTAGGGGAAGAGGAGAAGAAGTATGAGGAAGAGGAAGAAGAGGAGGAGGAGGGTAGGAACACTAGTACACTGGTACTGGTACATCTAACCATTTTGTCTGTCCTATTTGTCTGTCTGCAAGCCCCAGTCTTATCTGTCTATCCGTCGTAGCTCTCTGTCATCATAGAGCCACAAGACTGGTCATCACATTTACCACAATCGTCAAGCCAGAGTATAGTCACGTTTGTCTGGATTTCTTGTTTACTCCTAGTTAACTTTATATACTAATGTATACTTGTATTTCTGTGTACCGTGGAGACAGAGATAGACAGACAGATAGAAATAGAGAACAGATTGAAAGAGAAAGAATGAGGGTAGAAATTAATAACACCATTGGTATACACCATATTTTCAGAGTTCCACAAGCTGCAGAACTAATAGGAATATGTTATCAGTGACTGTATATTGGTATATATATATCGAACAATAATATTAAACAATGTTTTGTATTGTTTGTTTTTGTCAACCATGTTTTGGTAACAATATATTGAATAATTATGCGTTGTGTGCTTATTGTGATGTATACAACGAGTGTATCTATTACATTACACCATACTTTGGTCCTCTAGCCACATACGTCTTGAAAAAATAAAATAGTGAAAAAAACTACAACCCTCCAACTACAAGTAAACTAAAGTTTACCGGGTGAGCGCAGTCCGCCGCCTGTTGCGCTGCCATACATACGCGCTCATTTCTGCAAACTTCATGCATCCATATCTCCTAAACGTAATTGATGGTAAATTTTTTGTTATCCTATCCTTAGTTAAGAAAAAAAAACTACTATTATTTCATAAGAAAAAATAAATTGTTTTTTTTGAAATTTGGCCGACCCTGAGAACGAGTTTCGAGAGGGCCTGTCGACCCTCAAAGGTTACCCATCCCCCTCAAACATCTGCTTTGCCCACCTCAACATAACTCATGACCATAACACAAGACACAGATCACCTTTGATGTTTCCTCGTGCCCATGCTCACGATATCAAAAACTCTGGCACATAAAAGGCCCCTAAAACTGGGACTCATTACCTGTACCTATAAAAGAAACGCGACCTGTTTAAAAATTCAAGTCTCTTCTCAATGATCACTTACTCACCCAAAACCAAATAAATACTGAATAACTGAACCTTATAAATTGTATATCCTAAATGTTTCTCACAATTATATCACATAAATGTTAAACCTAAGACCCAATCTAACTTTGTTATTTTTTAAATACACTACCTAACAGAATACTCCATTCTACTGAATGTACAGCAATGCATGCAACCATATGACCTGTCTTTGTAATACTCATTTGTGCTTTATTGTTATCTGTTTACAATAATGTTTTATCACTGATTACATCTTTGCTTAGTTAATCTTAAGTTAATTTTAAGCCTGCCCGTAATGCTATGCATATAAGTGGCTTTGGCATGCTACTCTTACCTGTATTTTTTTGTACCTCTGTATGTATGCTACAAATTATAAAATAAATAAATAAATAAATAAAATAAAAATATAATATCACTGGGAGTAACTAGAAAACTATTCCTTTTGTATGTCAGTTTATTCAGGTATACACAAATACAGTTACATAGATTATTATGCATAGCAACATATGTGTAGAGAACCTAGGATAACCCAAAAAAGTCAATGACTTATTTCCATATGCCTTCACTCAGTGTCTCATTTCTTCTAAAATTGGTGTTACATGAGAACGGGAGTGTTTCTCTTTATTTATTCTACTGTATCAACATGGAGATAACTTGTACAAAATGTAAAGTGTTTGTACGGAAATAAGTCACTTTGTCTGACTTTTTTGGGTTATCCTTGGTTCTCTACACATATATTGCTATGTATGATAATCTATGTAACTGTATTTGTGTATACCTGAATAAACTTAATTATGGTATAATACAAAAAGTGTATGAACGAAAACCACACACGTTCACCTGGTTTGTTTACATTACGTGTAGGTGGGGTGGGGGGCTACCTCGGCTGGCTACATACTTCACATACCTGACTTCTTACAAATAAAACTCACCTCTCACCCTACATTAAGACTACAAATATTTTAAGGTAATTAATGAATGTACTGTATATTATTTTATCACTCTGGGGCGCTTTAATTTAATGTAGTATATTACGTGTGAGTGGGGTGGGCTGACCTGGCTGGCTACCATACCTCCCAAACCTGACTTCCTACAAATAAAACTCACCTCTCACCCTACATTAAGACTACAAACATTTTAACCCTTTCAGGGTTGGCAGGCCCTCTCCCAAACCTGTTCTCAGGGTCGGTAAAATATTTTTTTTCTAAATTTTAATGGCTAAAAAAAATTTTTTGCCATCAATAGTTACTGAGATATGGAGACATGAAGTTGACAGAAATTGAACCGCATACGGCAACATCGCCGACTGCCGGTCACTCGGTAATAGTTTATTTTGTTTTTTCTACTTTTTTCTTTTATTTTTTAATATTTTATTTTTTCAAATAACTTTTATGGCCTCTGAGACCAATATAAAGACTATTTGGTATATATTCACTCATTGCATACTACACAAAAACAGCACAAACTCTGCTGTCATTATATTGTTTACAAAACACGTTTACACAAACCAATAATAAAAAATGTTGTTTATTACTATTTTTCTATCATATACACCTACCATCTGACTTACGACCTGCTCGACTTACGACCACTCGACTTACGACCGTGTTTTTTTATGCCAAATTTCTGGGAAATAAACAACTGTTTGTGTTGTACACAGTGTTTATCCTAAACCTTACAGTATAAAATACAGTACTAACAGCATAAAAAGTAAAGTAAAACATGAAATACCACAATAAAATAAAGTCATTACAAAAATGTGATGTTGATATTCAGTAGTAAAGTTCGACTTACGTCCATTTCGACTTACGACCGGTTTCTTGGAACCGAACTCGGTCGTAAGTCGGATGGTAGGTGTATATACTCATATAGAATCACTGCACATGTTCCTACAACTACAAGAGGTTCCGAAAGCTTGTAGTAGTGTGGGGGTGGACTTGTAAATATGCTGAGTCACCGGTGTGTCTTGTGTCACAATGATGCATCATACCACCACTCACTAACTTCACTGCCTTCCACAACACATCCCTTCCTCCCCACACACCTACCTTCCTTCATTCTCTTCCTACCTACTTTCCCTCCTTCCTTCCTTCTCTCCCTCCCTCCTTCCTCCCCTCCCCCCTTCCTTTCCTTCCTCCTTCCTTTCCTTCCCCCCCTTCCTTTCCCTCCCTCCTTCCTTCCCTCCCTCCTTCCTTCCCTCCCACCTTTCTTCCCTCCCTCCTTCCTTCCTTCTCTCCCTCCTTCCTTCCCTCTCTCCTTCCTTCCCTCCTTCCCTTCTTCCCTCCCTCCTTCCTTCAAGTAACTTTTCTGGCCTGTGAGACCAATATAAGGTATATTGAATGTATATTCACTCATTGTCTGCTACACAGTAACCGCACAGTTATTATATTGTTTACAAAACATGTTTACACAAACCAAGAATAAAAAATGTTGTTTATTACTATTTTTCTATCACATATATACACATATAAAGTCATTGGACACTTCCCAGAACTGCTACAGCTTCTGTAAAGCTGGCAGTTGTTGTGTGGGGGTGGACTTATAAATATGCTGAGTCACCGGCCTAATTAGTGTCACAATGACAAATAACACCATCACTCACCACCCTCACTGCCTGTCAACACCCATCCCTTCCTCCCCACCCCACCAACCCACATGGAAATAAGTCACTGTCTGAATTTTTTGAGTTATCCTAGGTTGATGGTCTCCTTCCTTCCCTTCTTCCTTCCTTCCCTCCTTCCTCTCATCTCTTCCTTTCTTTCTTCCTTCCTTCCTCTCATCTCTTCCTTCTTTCCTCCCTTTCTTCTTTCCTTCTTGCTTTCTTCCTTCCTTCCTTCAGGTTGGTTTCCTGAGCATTGCTTTCGGTCACAAACTCCTCAAAACCATTAAATTCATCTTCACTGACACTTCCATCTGTGTTTGAACTGTCACTTGAGAACAAAAGAGCCCCAATTAGCCAAGGAGTGAGGAGTCTCTTACTGCTAGACATGGTGAACAAGGTGTAATAAAATGGCTTTCCCACAATGCACCACTGGGTCCCCGATTTTTTTTATACTGCGCACACTAACCATGGAGACCCATTCTCTCACATCCAGGACTACCAGCCTTTTCCTGCTTGATTTGAGGACGCTAGAATTTATGCGTACTAGTACAGTACCAACCCTGGCACATAAGCCGTACTAGTACAGCACCAACCCTGAAAGGGTTAAGGTTAATAATGGGTGTACTGTGTGTGTATTTTACTTTTTATTGTTGTTAATGCCTAGTTCTATTACTAACTTAATATGTTAGTGTAAACTTGTTATCTGGCATTATATGCATTTATAAGTGGAAAAAATGGAGTTCTGCTTTCCAGCGATGTCTGCATTCTGGCAGTAGCTTGGAACCTAACCTGCCATATAAGTGGGGCCCTACTGTACGTTGGAATGTAAGTACATAGAATAAAAAATATTTTATTTCAATTGTACAGTACTGCTGAATTATTATTTTCCTTTAAATGCTGTGAGTGAAGAGTTAAACTAAACACAATATATATTCTATTTATCAAATCTGAACCAAATACTAAGATAACTTCAGTAATAAATCATATTTTCTGAGCACAAAATCATTAACAGATAATCTCAAAAGAATCAAAATGACAATTGTGTGCATACAGTACAACATTTTAGTTTATGTATATTAAAAATCTGGTAAACTGAACTACTACTATTGATACAAAATGGAAATATCCAGCAACAATTCCTTATCAATACATCATGTGTGTCAATCAATGGTTTAACTAATATTACATTCAACATCACTCTAGTGGTATCTATTATATGTGTATATAGTTACAAGAGAAATCTATTCTGCTTGCCAGATGCTCTTCAATGAACTTTTTTCAATCTTAAATATACAGTATCAGCATAGTTTTTTACTTTGTGTTCAAGTTATCTACAAAGAGTTTTTTCACTGTATACTGGTACTAAAATTTGAATAAATCATTAATGCCCATAAAAGATTTTGTATCATTAATATACTGGGAAAGTTGAATCTATTTTATGTGCCCATGCTGTCAATCCACCAATGATATCCTGAATCTGAATTTCATGGTTATTCAGTGCACACTGCAGCTGCTGCACTGCTAGCTGGGAGTCGTTACCACGGCGACAAACACAATATACCCTCTTAGTTTCTAAATCCAGTAATTTCTCTTCAATGAGAGCAATACTCTCTATGCTACTTAGCTGCTTCAAAGGAATGTTTATACAATTTGGAAGGGCACATATTTCTAACTCAACTGGAAGTCGCACATCAATTAGTATATGAGGCAAGTTTGTCTCTAAAATTGCTTTATATTCCTCAACAGTTACTCTTTCATCCTTTTTTAGGAGCATCATATTTTTGTCTTTGTCAGTAGCTGCTGCTCCACAAAACTGTTCATAGTCTATTAGTTTAACAATCTTGGGAGTATCTCCACAAACCTCGCATGAATTCCTACTCCCTCTCAATTTTACAGTGCGGAAGGCTCCTTGCAAACCATCAAAAAGCAACAATCTCTGTGATAAAGTAGATCCCAAGCTACAGATTATTTTGATTGCTTCCAGAGCTTGCATGCAGCCTATCACTCCAGGTACAACTCCTAAAACACCTCCATCAGAACAGTTGGTGACAGTTTCAGGTGGAGGTGGCTTTGGATGGATACACCTGTAGCAGGGACCTCCTTCAAAGTGATAAATGGTTAGCTGACCTTCAAATCTCAGAGCTGACCCAGAAACTAAAGGTTTATTAGCCATGACACAAGCATCGTTCAGTAAGTAGCGGGTAGCAACGTTATCTGTACAGTCCAATACCAGATCGTATTTGCTAATTACTTGCATAGCTACATCACTTGTGAGAGCTATTTCATATGGAATGACTTCTACAAGACTGTTTAATTCCTGTACTGAAAAGGCTAAAGAGGCAGACTTTGATATACCAACTCTTCCCTCTGAATGTGAAATCTGTCTGTGAAGATTACTCACTTCTACTGCATCATAATCAATCAACCCAAGGCGCCCAACCCCAGCAGCTGCCATATATATTGCAGCAGGACATCCCAAGCCACCACAGCCAACAATCAGAGCTGAAGCTGCTCCCAATTTTCTCTGCCTTTGTGGTCCTAATTCTGGTAAAATCAGCTGTCGAGAATACCTTGCAACTTCTGCTTTGCTTAAAGGAGTTTTAGTCTTTGGTAAAATGTTGTGATTAGTTAGGTCCTTGACAAGACTGGCTTGCAATGCATCAAGGTTCTTGTCTTGATATTTTGCCAACTGCAACTTTAGATGTTTATTTTCCTTTTCTTTTTTCTCGAGCTCTTCAAGTAACTCTTCTCTGGACAAGTTCTCCATTTCTGAAAGTACAGCAATTTAAATAGCAATGGGTAAATTTAGATTTACAATGTGCTCAATGCTTATTCTGTTCCACTTACAAAAAAAAAAAAATTACAGTTACAACTAAATTTTGAAGGAGCTATGAGGTTTTAGGGGTTTTACATGAGCTCAGCAAATTTACTGACTAATCTGCCAAGGTACACAGTACAAAATCCTAACAAAACAGGATGTAAGTAAGTCTGTCTCCTAACACTTCATGCCTAAGCTACCTAGCAATAAACAGGACCTTGGAAATATGGCAGACTGACTTCTAGAAGCATCCTGGGTTATTAACCCTCCTTGGTTGCTAATGTGAGTAGCGCAGTCTTGTTGTTAGTTTTCTTTTACAATGTCTGAAGCAAAATACAGATACAGCAAATTGACAAAGGGATTAAAGTTAAACATTTGTGAATTCCCTCTCACAAAGACCTCCAGAAACATGATAAATTTGATGTTTTGGATAAACAAGCATCAAACAAAAAGAATGCTTAAAAGCCACTGACAGACAACAACTAGTAAATGACTTTGAAGAACGTACAAAAAGATATAGGAACTAGCAGAGACATAGTTCATTATAATGAAATGTGTCAAGTACAGTGGCACCCAGAGTTTTGCATTGCTCCCAACTAGAACAATTATGTAAGTGTATTTGTGTAAGTACGTTTGTAAGTGTATTTTTGGGGGTCCGAAATGGGCTAATCTAATTTACATTACAGTGGATCCCCGGATTAAGACATCATCGCATTAAGCAATAATCGAATTAGGTAACGTTTTTGTGTCAAAATATTGGCTCGGTTAACGACACTGAACTCAGTTAAAGTCATTCGTCCCAAACGTGTCTGCGCACTGTGAGCAGCCCGGCTACTCCATGTACAGCCAGTGTGCCAGTGTTCACAAGCCAGTGAGGACGATTCCATGCGTACATGTGATACATTTTGTATTATTCCATTGGTTTTAGTGCTTGTAACTGCTAAATAAGCCACTATGGGTCCAAAGAAAACTTCTAGTGCCAGCCCTTTGGTAAAGAGGGTGAGAAACACTATAAAATTCAAGAAAGAGATCGCAAAATACGAAAGTGGAGTGCATGTCTCCAAGCTGGCCAGGTTGTATAACAAACCCCCATACAACCATCGCTACTATCCTGGCCAAGAAAAAGGCAATCAAGGAAGTTGTTGTTGCGAAAGGTGCAAGTATGTTTACAAAACAGAGATCACAAATACTCGAAGATGTGGAGAGATTGTTGTTGGTCTGGATCAAAGAGACACAATTATCAGGAGATGGTGTTTTGCAGTAATTACAGTGGAACCTCAAATTTCGAACTTAATCCATTCCAGGAGCTAGTTCTAAATTCGAAAAGTTTGAAAAGTGAAGCAATATTTCCCATAAGAAATGATGGAAATACAATTAATCCATTCCAGAAACCCAAAAATATTCACAAAAAAAAAAATATTTTATCGAGATTAATTATAGTTTTACATGCACACAACCATTATAGTGTACAATTATGTATTAATAAACTTAAATAAACATATAAAACAACATTTTTACTTACCTTTATTGAAGATTGGTGATGGCATCTGGAAGATAGGGAGGAGAGAGGGAGTTGGGGTTAATGTTTGGAAGGGGAATCCCCCTCCATAAGGACTTTAGGTATCAAAGCCCTCTCTGGGGTTACTTCTCTTCTCTGTCTTTTAATGCCACTAGGACCAGCTTGAGAGTCATTGGACCCCTTTCTCACAAAATAACTGTCTACAGTCCTCTGTTTCTGGTGCCTCTTTAAGATTTCCCTAAAATGGGACATGGTTTTGTCACTGAACTTTTCACAAATAATCGTCTCTGAAACACTATCACCTGCCATCTCTTTATCCTTGATCGCACAGCAACAACTTCTCAACCTGATCAATTGTTTATGTTTTTTTTTTTGGTTAGCATATTAACACCTTTCACAACATCAGCTTCCTTGATTTCTTCTTTCTTTGAAAGGATAGAAGCGATGTTCGACTTGTTTTTTCCCCATACATCCTGGCAAGCTCAACAAGTTTCACACCACTCTCATACTTCTGTATTATTTCCTTCTTCACATCTATGGTGTTTCTCACTTTCTTTACCACAGGGGTACCACAAGCAAGTTTCTTTGGGCCCATGGTAGCTTATTTCACAGTCCCACAAGCACTAAACACAATGAATTAATCGTAAAATGTTTGAATGAGACTGCAGGTTGGTGCTCACTCAAGCATCAACAAAGCCAGACTGGCTCAAGGCGCCTGCGCGGAGACGCGGACAGAGTGGGCTGGAGGACAGGTCCAGTACTTGGCGGTTCGAAAATAGGGGCGACTTTGACAATAGGGACAAATGTGATGAATGGTTTGAAAAACCGACAAGTTGAAGATTGAGACACTTATGCAGCATATGGGAATCTTTATTCAGGAAACGTTTCGCCACACAGTGGCTTCATCAGTCCAATACAAAGAGGAAGGCGTAAGGAGAGGAGGAGTATGAGGTAATCAGTCCCTCAGCCTGGAGTCGATGTGTTCAGTCCATCAATCTTGTAGAATGTACAGCATAGGGCCCTATGCTGTACATTCTACAAGATTGATGGACTGAACACATCGACTCCAGGCTGAGGGACTGATTACCTCATACTCCTCCTCTCCTTACGCTTTCCTCTTTGTATTGGACTGATGAAGCCACTGTGTGGCGAAACGTTTCCTGAATAAAGATTCCCATATGCTGCATAAGTGTCTCAATCTTCAATAGGGACAAAGTTGGTTTGAAAAATGCGGCCGATTTTCGAAGTTCGATAAGCAATACGTTCGAAATTTGAGGTTCCACTGTATATGTGAAAAGGCAAGGCAGTTGCATGATGATCTCATTAAGAAAATGCCTGGAACTAGTGTTCATATTGGTGAATTTAAGGCTAGCAAAGGTTGGGAGGCAGTTGAACAGTCTTGGGCCCCCTGACACTTATTGTGTTGTCTCTTATCATGCTAGTGGCACCTCTGCTTTTCACTAAGGGGGGATGTTGCATCATCTGCCAAGTCCTTTGCTTTCATAGAGAGTGATTTTCTTATGCAAGTTTGGTACTAATCCCTCTAGGATTTTCCAAGTGTATATAATCGTGTATCTCTCCCGCCTGTGTTCTAGGAAGTAGAAGTCGAGGAACTTCAAGCATTCCCAGTAATTGAGGTGTTTTATCGCAGTTACGTGTGCCACGAAGGTTCTCTGTACACTTTCTAGGTCAGCAATTTCACCTGCCCTGAAAGATGCTGTTAGTGTGCAACAATATTCCAACCTAGATAGAACAAGTGACCTGAAGAGTGTCATCATGGGCTTGGCATCTCTAGTTTTGAAGGTTCTCATTATCCATCCTGTCATTTTTCTAGCAGATATGATTGATACAATGTTATGATCTTTGATCCTCTGACATGATCACTCCCAGGCCTTTTACATTAGTTTTTCGCTCTACTGTGCAGTTGGAATTTGTTTTATACTCCGATATACAGTGGATCTCCGGTTTTCATCCTTAATCCATTCCAGGAGGTCAGTCGAAATCCAAAATGGACGAAAACCGAAGTAATATTTCTCATAAGAAATAATGTAAATCCAATTAATCCATTCCAGACACCCAAAAATATTAACAAAAAATAAAATAAGTTAGTAATAGAACTAGGCATTAAAAAATGCAATAAAAAGTAAAATACATACACAGTACTTTCATTACTTACCTTAAAATATTTGTAGTCTTAATGTAGGGCGAGAGGCGAGTAGTATTTATTTGTAGGAAGTCAGTGTAGGTACCCGGTAGGTGTAGCCCAGGCAGGCTACCTACACTGTGACCCAGAGCCATATTATTACCATCGACATATCATGTTCACTGAGTTTAATCATTTCTAGCAACTACCTTTAGATGCCATCATAAACAAAGGGAGAAGTAATGAATATTTCATGTCGAGAATTGTAAACAAAAATGTTATGTATTATGGGCATTGACTGGGCCAATGAAGACTCATACACGTTTTCTCTAATGCTGGACCAAAGAAAACATAAGGTTTTCCTCCACTGACTACCACCCCTGCATAGCACATAAACACTGCATGTTTATATGCTATGTAACGTGTTCCTCATATAGTTTTGAAGAAAATATCATAGATGGATTAATGAAAATGTCTATACTGGCATAAAATAAGACATTTACTGTGCCCAAGAGTAATTATTATTAAACATACATAGCATATAAACACTGCATGTTTATATGCTATGTAACACATTTCTTATATACAGTGGTACCCTGAGTTTCGTACAGCTCCCAACTCAAACAATTTTGTAAGTGCTTTTGTAAGTGTATTTTTGGGTGTCTGAAATGGACTAATCTAATTTACATTATTCCTCATGGGAACAAATTCGTTCGGTAACAGCACTCGAACAGCCTTCTGGAATGAATTATGGCTGAAACTTGGGGTACCACTGTAATTTTGAGGAAAATGTCATAGGTGGATTAATGAAAATGTCTATATTAAAATAAAATAAGACATTTGATGTGCCCAAGAGTGATTATTAACACAGTGGTCCCTCGTTTATCATCGTTAATCCGTTCCTGGAAGTGCGACGATTATCGAAATAGACGATTTTCGAATTAATTTTCCCCATAAGAAATAATGTAAATACAATTAATCCGTTCCTGACACCCAGAAGTATTAAAACAAAAAAATTTTTTACATGAAATATAGATGTAGTACATAAACAATACAGTGGGACATGATGAATGAAACAGTAACAGCATAACACTTACCTTTATTGGTGATTCTTCTTAGTGTATGGAAGACTGGAGGAGGAGAGAGATTGGATTAGTTACTGTTTGGAAGGGGAATCCCATTCCATCAACACCTCAGGTACCAAGTCCTTTTCTGGGGTTACATACTTCTCTTCTGTTTCTTAATGCCACTAGGACCAGCTTGAGAGTCACTGGAGTCCTGTCTCGCAA